CGGCGTTAAGAATAAATGAAAAGGTTCATTTCGGCGCTGCTCTGTTCACCACGCTCGCGTTCTCTTTCTCTCATTCTCCCATTGATCGGAACCCCGCCCGCCTTATTGACAAACATGTAGTACGCTAGCTTGATGGTGCGTGTGCAATCGTTTCCTGCGGTCATATCATGCAAACATCCGGACCCGCGGCCCTGCGTCTCCTGCCTTCGTGAATCATCCGACCACTGCAAAAAGCACAACTATCTGACATTTACGTGTATTTATGGGACGCTCAGTGTGGCCCAGCTCCACGCGTTGGTAGAACTCCCCTATAATGTATTACTGATCAGAGCGCCTCATACAGTGTTGCAACCGTCTTGACTTACGGCAAGTTTTGACATACGACTGATGTAGTTACGGTATCAAGTTGCTAGGTATAATTGCACGGCGCAGCACACGGATTAGTAGTTTCGACGCACATGGGCTGCTGAAGATGATAATCGCGAAATTTATAAATGGGCCAACGCCCCAATACTTCGACATGTAGCGTTTTTCATGTTCTTGGTGATAGCTTTTTGATTGTGTTAAAGAGTCCCACGCTTACTGTATAAAATTCGTTGTTATTCTCATTCTATTTTGTTTACATATATTCTTTCAAGATTTCTCCATTGCATAAGAATTTTACAATTGCTAGTAATTACTGTATATACGTCGCAGCCCCGTAATTCAGATCGTGAACTAATCGACCCATTGCTACACGCATGGCTGCATAACATTGTATTGTTGGAAACTTAGTTTTAGAGGCGGCTCACTCTGCTGCCTAAGCTCTACGAACGCCACAAATTACATACGACGCTCGTGCACGTCTATTTACCTTGTTCCCGCGCCGATGCCATCGAACAGGAGTAAGATAATATAAGGATGATATATATATATTTATCAGTGATAGTAATATAATAGATATCAATAGATAATAATCGGGAGATAAGGGCATAGCGATGCCGCACCGACAGCAGCCTATGATAAACGAACGCTGCCGTTTCATTCTAGGCGGAAACCCGAAATTTCACGAAAGCAACCTTAGAGGCGTGTAGGTTGCTGCTGATGTGGATTTCGAGGCGCTGTGATGGCCTGTGGAGGGGAGTTTAGGAGCCAAATAGTCTCAGCCTAAGGAGTTTCTATTGACAAGCGGTTGGTCCTTGTTTTAGAGAGCAAAGAATTCTGAATATGCAGTACCGATAGAGTTAGTTCTAGCTCGTACCCAGGCATCAAAAGAATGAGAGTATAATCATGGTGTAAATATCACCTATTTTTTCCGTTTTTCCGTGTACACTCTTAAGTGATTAGATTAGGCTATCTTGATATTATAATATAAGATAATCCTATATTATCTTACTCCTGATCGAATGGTATGCAATCATGTCCCAGGTTGGCCTAGCTTTATAATATATCATAGCAGCGTACAAGTTTGGCGAAGGATGTTGGACGTTCACAGTACGTACCGGCAATCGTCAACGTAAGCGTAGACCGTGTTACAGTTGAACCGATGACATAATACAGCGTGAGTGTCACAAAGAGAGAAAGATAGAGAGAGAAGATAAAGGAGAGAGTGGCAAGAGAGAGAGAGAGAGAGAGGAGAGAGAGAGAGAGATAAGATAGGGAGGGTGAGAGACGAGAGGGAGAGAGAGAGGTACACGTGCGTGCGTTCGTGCGTGCGTGCGTGCGTGTGTACGTAAACCGGACAATTACCCCCCGGACATTTACCCTCCTGAATATAATAGCGATGTTTCATGTTTATTCAAACATTGACGTCATATGCGCACATGCGCAGTTTAACGGTTGGCAGCAAGCAGATGCCTGATATTGTTCGATACAAGCACACGCACGCACGCACGCACGCACGCACGGGACAATCACCCTCTGGACATTTACCCCCCGGACATTTACCCCCCGGACAATCACCCTCCGGACAATTACCCCCCGGACAATTACCCCCCGGACAATTACCCCCCGGACATGCGTGCGTGCGTGCGTGCGTACGTGCGTGTGTGTTAATTGTCCGGGGGTAAATGTCCGGGGGGTAATTGTCCGGGGGGTAAATATTCGGGGGGTAATTGTCCGGGGGTAAATGGCATGGGGGTAATTGTCCAGGGGGTAATTGTCCGGGGGTAATTGTCCGGGGGATGATTGTCCGGGGGGTATTTGTCCTAGAACCACAGGAACAAGTCTGTCCCCCATACGCGCTGTATTCACGTACGTCACACTGTAAACGGTCACTTACTGTGACGTTGCGGTACTGCTGTAACGTCACATCTTCGCCAAACTTGTATTGGAGTTTACTTGTAAATAAATGTTAACGGATGGCACTTGAAAGGTTTCAATAAAATATAATGTTAACTAAATACGAAATCTATTTACTACCCCCCTACTAATTACTAATGCTAGTAATAGTATTTGTAGTATACTATTTTATTATTTTATATTATACTATATTATATTATACCCTAGTATATTATATTATGGGGGTTTAATACTAGGGTGTTAGGTTGGTGGTAAAGTTAGTATTACTGGTACTGGTAGGTCTAGTACTGACAAGTTGTATTTATTAACCATCATTTTATTATTGAAACGGTCCAAGTGCCTGTGCTTGAAGCGTTTCAATAAAATATAATGCTAACTATAAATACGAAATCTATTTACTACCAAATTCTTAATGTTTCTATGCTCTCTTTCACCTATTATTGCCGACAGTTTCCTGTAAATTCCGTCCAAATCCTATGTGCAACAAACACTGACTGCCGCCATTCCTCACGCGGCTGCAGTGTGCACACTGACACTTATATATAATTATATTGTTTGATTTGACCTAATAACTTCACTTCAATACCGTCCAATACACCGCTGCAACACATGGCGCGCACGCCATTGTGCACAACCTACACAGTAATATAGAGTGCTCTTTATAGTTGTTCTTTGGTACATTTCATGTTTATTTACCATTAATTTTTTTAATTGAGACGTTCCAAGTGCTTGTGCATGGATAGTTTTATATAGTGGATTATATTCTATATAGTGGATTACGTAGTGGCGAGCGACTCAAGGACCTCCTTTGGGGGGGGGGGAGACCCTACCCTCGCAATTACAGTATTCATGTCCTAAGCTACAGGTGTATATACAGTGTACGGATATATATAAATACGTGGGTGATATAACGGTTATATAGCAGATCTGCGAATCCGAGGGGTGGATCGTGCTACGTATTTCTTGCGAGTTTCTTGCGATCACCCCGAGGAGATCCGTACGGATTCATTAGCAAAAACTTGACAGATTCACAGTATATATTCTATCCCTGTGTCATTCAGTTTCATGCAGCTCACTATATATAGACATAATTCTCATAAACTTCAAACTGAAATGGATAACTGTTAAATGATCCGTCGTTTCAGCGGCCATTTTTGCGTACATGCATGATGCCGGCCTCCGTAGGGAATAATAGTAACATTTCCGGAGAATGGCATATAGTATGCAATACTTGTCACATACAAATGTATTTCTACACACAGGTACATCTAGTAAAGTTTATTCAAATCAGTAGGGATTTGTCGGATTTGCACGGATGGTTGGTTTACGAAGCAACAGGTCCTTACGGGTTATCTTCGAAGTCGGGAAATTCGAGCCCGCTAGCTACAATCTTATACGTGTTGCCATATTTTGGGACTAAATTTGGGGGGGAGTTGGTCGCTCCCGTGGCGTCGCACTCACGCGACCCGCGTGGGCCGTTGCTCGGCTCAGCGAGTCTGCGCGTTTACGGGGCGGGCCGTTTCGGCGCGCGCAATCATCCCGACCGCACGCGCAAACGTACGTGTGTTGTGGCCGGGGGCGCGCGGGACTCTCCTCTCCCATAATGAGGCAACAACGTATTCAGGTGTTCGTGTCTATATATGCTGTTAACCGCGCGGAAAAAGTCGGTTGCGCGGTGTAATTCATTTCGCGCGCCGAGGACTTTGGCGCCGACGAGATTCTACTGCTACCGTACTACATGCCGCTGCTATGATATAAAGCTAGGCCAACCTGGGACATGATTGCATACCATTCGATGGCATCGGCGGCGGGAACAAAGGTTAAACATAGACGTGCACGAGCGTCGCTATGTTGTGGGGTTCGTAGAGCGTAGGTAGCAAGAGTGAGCGCCTCTAGTTTCCAACAATACAACAAAACATATACCTACAACAAAACATATACAACAAAACGTTTCCACCAAAATACAATGTTATGCAGCCATTCGTGCAGCAATGGCGTCCGATTATCACGATCTGACATTTACCGGTGCTGCGAGTATATACACGTAATTTACTAACAATTGTAAAATTCCATGCAATGGAGAAATCTTGAAATAACATTATAAAATAGATTGAAAATAAACACATTTATACAGTGAACGTGGGACATTCTTTAACACAATCAAAAAGCTTATCACCCAAAGAACATTATAGCATGAAAAACACTAACTGTCGAAATATTGGGGCGTTTGGCCATTTATGAATTCGCCGATTCATATTTCAGCAGACCATGTGGTCGAAAACTACTGATCCGTGTTTGCGCCGTCATATACCTAGCAACGTTATAACCGCGTGCGTTGCAACACTACACGCATGCAGGCGCTCTGTCAGTAATCATTATAAGTGGAGTTCTACCAACGGTGGAGCTGGGCCACACTGAGTGTCCCTATTATGTCAAGGGAAGTAAATGTCAGATGTTGTCTTTTGAGTGGTGGATGATTCACCGAAGGCAGGAGACGCAGGGCCACGGGTCCGGATGTTTGCATGATGATATACCGCAGGAAACATGCACCACGAATCAAGTAGCATAGCTACATGTTTGTCAAATAAGCATTGAGTATATATACGAGAACGAGGCGGGGTTCGATGTGGGAGAATGAGAGAAGAGAACGCGAGCGTGATGACAGAGCAGGCGAAATGAACCTTTTTCATTTATTTCTTAACGGTTTTATATTTTTACAGGTTTGAGAGAAAGCGCAGGAAGTTGTAACATCGTAGGTTTCGTGGAAAACCTTGTGGCAGGATATCGGGTTCTTCCACAGGAATGCACCGGTATATTGGCAGCGTACCATAATGTTTCCCAAGAGATATCAGCCGGTGGTGACGTCAACCCTGCCAAGCTAGTCTCAAAGATTTTTGATGCGTTATGTCCGTACGTAATACGTTCATTCACGTTTAAAAACGATAATCAAACCACTGTACGTGTTGTGATTAAATTCATGCTTAGGGATGGAGTGGGGTGTGGAAATAATGTTAAAAAAATGTTACACTTGATCAATATTATTTCTGATTATCTATTATGGTTATTTATGGGTATGTTTTGTAGTTAGTAAATTGTCTATGTGTAATGTACATCGCACGTGAATAAAATACCCACATTCTAAGACGAGATTTATGACATGTAACGTTAATGCGTGCAGTTGTTCTCCACCTATATATCATGGATTTAAGATATGATTATCAGAAAAGACGTAATTGGAGAAGATGTATATATTTCTATTTAACCAAAACACCAAATTTCTACATTATTGGTAAATACTCGTGAAAAAGCGTTTGAACTCATTGTCCGACGTTACGCAGTGATTGTGGAAGCGAGGGCGATGTTGTGAGCAGGGGAGCGAATAGAAGCAGCTGACGACCGATTAACATGTACTGGATTCATAATTTTGCAGGAAACTGGACGATCTGCTTCCTTGTTACAATGCAGTTGTTAAGGCTGTGGGTTGCTCGAGCACCGATCTGCTACTAGAGGGCGTGCCAAATGTTCCGCCTGTTTTCCAAGATGCAACTTTCGCTGATGCCGAGTTTTATCTAAACGCGATGATTGCCGTCTATAAGATTCAGTGCGACAAAGAGAATAACCCATTATGGAGTGATGAGAACGCTCGTAAGTACCATGGCACTATAAGGCAATACGCCGACCTATTCCGTAATGAGGTTACATAATTAATTTTCCGGATGCCGCAGTCAGCCTAAATATCACCTGCCTAATTGCGTGTTCAGGATATACCTAGGTTCATGGTATATATCTATAATATAGTGACAGATATCCGTAGTGAAAGAACATCGACCCGAATATATTTCTGAACTCTTCATATCTTGCTTGTTTCTTTACAGTGGCGAAGCTCAACGTCTGTGCAGAAAAGATAGTAGCGAGTGGAATAGATCCAGGACTCTATATTACAGAACTGTACTCTATAGATTTCACTACCGGTGGAAAACCACTCAGTGACGAAGACTGTAGGTGAGTGTAAATTAACATATCACGTTTTCATGAGAAGTATATTTCTAAAAAGGGTTCTTAATTTTTGCATAAAACGTATGTACTAACAGCACTAAGTATAACCTGCTACTGGATAAAATAATGTTCGAAAGAGTTACAAAAATTTGATACATTGAAACGAATTGCACTATTCCACTATGGAAAATGTATCGAGTCTGAGCGTTTACATGCACTGAACAGAACAACAAAATATTGGTGTAACGCAGGTATTTAACCATAAACGGTGAGCAAAATCACACAACTGTAGTGTCGTAATTTATCATTTGTGAAATAAATTGATTGTCTAACGTTGAAGACAGTGATGTACTATAAATTAGTACTACATTAGTACTAAACGAGTACTACACTAGTACATTAGTACGCTAAAGGGTCCTGCGGGTGCATACAGAAAATGAGATGGCGCATAGTCTATTTTAAAAGTTTCCGTAATTAGTAAAGTGATAAACATTGCGACCAATTATTGATTGCTAACCTTACTATTTTTTAGAAAATTTGATAGTCTCATGGTTACCGTGACAAATCTATATGGAGAACCAAAGGAATGTGAAGACTTCTACCCTTTCGTCAAGGAAAGCACTTCGACGCTTACCGACTATGTTTGCGGAAGAGAGAATGGCGCGAATCGAGCTTCATCGTACTGGGCTGCTGTTGCGGTGATGTCAGCCGCTGCCATTGTGAACTACAATCCCATTGTGTGTTAAACTGCATGGGTATCATGTTTCGATATTATGCTGCGCGCTATTCATGTTTCGCTATATCCTTGACTTAAAAACACGAGGACGATAGATGCACGACAGATAATATACCGAGGCTAACAGTCGCATATTTCCTCGTGAGTGGACGAGCAAATTAAGGCTATGCTGGAAAACACCCCAGCAACGGACTTTAGCACCGCTGCCCCGGCCGTGTACCTGCAGGGCTGATGAACACGAATGGTACACTACCCCCGCAAATCTAAAAGCGCACGCGACAAAGTGTGTACACACGGAAAAGGTTCCTGGTATATAGCTAAGCGCTTGGGTGCAATTTCAAAAGAAATGAAATGTGCAACATCAAATCACAAAACAGAGATTTCACTGGTCATGCGTTGATGACTCGCCGACATTCCTATACTATAGGAATATCAATACCACGAATCACTTCAAATAAGTGGCACTTCAAATAATCTTTTTCTCTTGACATATGAATATGTTTCATAGATATGTACACAACAGCCACGCTATGATTACGTTATCGATGGTACATCATCACGAAACGTTAGCGAAAAAACGGCTAAACACAGAATTCCGTATTGAATACGTAAATATAGGTAATTGGTACCCCGAGCCTCGTGTGCTTTGTCACGTACATCATCTTGCGAAATCGTGTTCGTGGGTCCGTATTCCACCACGTGTCAGCATGCCGGCATGTCATGCATATCTATCTGTTCCTACCAATGCTCTTAATTGGACTGGACCTAGGCGAGTAGGTGCTTTTTTGACACCAGACAGCGACGGGCAGCGGAAGATAGCGTTTAGCTAATAAGCGGTGTTTAAACTTCGTCCCCGACAGTGTTTTTTTCAATTATCGTGGAAAGACGTGAAGTTGTAGTCTATTCGGCAGTTTAGGTATTGTGACCTATTCGGCAGTTTAATTATTGTGACCTATTCGGCAGTTTAATTATTGTGACCTATTCGGAGTTAAGGTAAAATTATACTTGTATTTGTGTGTTTGTGTTAATCAGAGGAAGAACTCTCGCCACGTGGACAAGACACGACGCGCGGCGCGGGCAGCTCTACTGTCTGAGAGGTTATCATCTTGCCATCCTGCCGGACGGGAACGTCAGAGGAATAACCGTACCCGGATCCCCGCTAGGTAATGATCTCGTGAGTCACAATAACCCTAACGGTCACGGCAAATTCGATAAATGCGGATCTAAACAGTTCCTCGCATTCCGTGTGACTATATCGCGAACTTTTTCACATTGTCGGTTTCTGCCGATACTATAATGTTTGCATTGCGTCCGCGCGCCTCGCACACCTTCCTTGTTTGCATGGTCGGTTTCCATTCCCCTTTTCGTTTGCCTTTACTACAGCGCAAATTGAGATCACGTCACCAGGGATCGGGCTGATCCGTATTAAAGGCATTGCCACAGGTCTGTTTCTAGCCATGAACAAACATGGCCGCCTATATGGCCAGGTGAGTATGCGAGTCTCGGTCACTCAAATAGATACTAATTCACCTGTCCGCCCGGAATGGTTGACAGATTATTCCAGCGTTGCGATAAGGGCGTCTAAGAAACTTTGCTTATTAACGAAGTGCCGAAAAGTTGACTATTTAGTCTGCGCGGTTGAAAACACAAATAAATTGGTTAATTATGACAAGCGTAGCAACAATATCCAGAGGGCGTAGTTATTTAACTTAGGCGTATAGGTAATTTAAGATGAGCAATTCCCAATAAGTTATTATATTAGTTAGTGTTTTAGAGAGCAAAGAATTCTGCTTAATGCAATACCATAAAATTATTCTAGACTCGCAGGCAAAGTAGAATAATGTTGACGTGAAATAGCACTATTTTCCCGTTTTTTCGTTGTACACTCTAGGTATTATTAGCTCTTGATAATATATATATATATATCCTATATTATCTTACTCCTGATTCGATGGCATCGGCGGCGGGAACGAAGGTTAAACATAGACGTGCACGAGCGTCGCTATGTTAATTTGTGGCGTTCGTAGAGCTTAGGCAGCAAGAGTGAGCGCCTCTAAAGTAACGTTTCCAACAATACAATGTTATGCAGCCCATGCGTGTAGCAATGGCGTCCGATTATCACGATCTGACATTTACCGGTGCTGCGAGTATATACACATAATTTACTAGCAATTGTAAAATTCTATGCAATGGAGAAATCTTGAAATAATATTATAAAATAGATTGAGAATAAACACATTTATACAGTGAAGGTGGGACATTCTTTAACACAATCAAAAAGCTTATCACCCAAAGAACATGAAAAACGCTAACTGTCGAAATATTGGGGCGTTTGGCCATTTATAAATTCGCCGATTCATATTTCAGCAGACCATGTGGTCGAAAACTACTAATCCGTGTGTGCGCCGTCATATACCTAGCAACGTTATAACCGTAACTACGTCAGTCGTTGTCAAACTCTGCCGTAAGTCAGACGTTGCAACACTGTATGCAGGCGCTCTGTCAGTAATCATTATAGGTGGAGTTCTACCAACGGTGGAGCTGGGCCACACTGAGCGTCCCTAAATACACGTAAATGTCAGATGTTGTCTTTTTGAGTGGTGGATGATTCACCGAAGGCAGGAGACGCAGGGCCGCGGGTCCGGATGTTTGCATGATATACCGCAGGAAACATGCACCACGAATCAAGTAGCATAGCTACATGTTTGTCAAATAAGGCGGGCGGGGTTCGATATGGGAGAATGAGAGAAGAGAACGCGAGCGTGGTGACAGAGCAGGCGAAATGAACCTTTTTCATTTATTTCTTAACGGTTTTATATTTTTACAGGTTTGAGAGGAAGCGCAGCAAGTTGTAACATCACAGGTTTCGTGGAAAACTTTGTGGCAGGATATCCGGTTCTTCCACAGGAATGCACCGGTATATTGGCAGCGTACCATAATGTTTCTCAAGAGATATCAGCCGGTGGTGACGCCAACCCTGCCAAGCTAGTCTCAAAGATTTATGATGCGTTCTGTCCGTACGTAATACGTTCATTCACTTTTAAAAACGTTAATCAAACCACTGTACGTGTTGTGATCAAATTCATGCTTAGGGATGGAGTGGGGTGTGGAAATAATGTTAAAAAAATGTTACAGTTGATCAATATTATTTCTGATTATCTATTATGGTTATTTATGGGTATGTTTTGTAGTTAGTAAATTTTCTATGTGTAATGTACATCGCACGTGAATAAAATACCCACATTCTAGGACGAGATTTATGACATGTAACGTTAATGCGTGCAGTTGTTCTCCACCTATATATCATGGATTTAAGATATGATTATCAGAAAAGACGTAATTGGAGAAGATGTATATATTTCTATTTAACCAAAACACCAAATTTCTACATTATTGGTAAATACTCGTGAAAAAGCGTTTTAACTCATTGTCCGACGTTACGCAGTGATTGTGGAAGCGAGGGTGATGTTGTGAGCAGGGAAGCGAATAGAAGCAGCTGACGACCGATTAACATGTACTGGATTCGTAATTTTGCAGGAAACTGGACGATCTGGTTCCTTGTTACAATGCAGTCGTTAAGGCTGTGGGTTGCTCGAGCACCGACCTGGTACTAGAGGGCGTGCCAAATGTTCCGCCTGTTTTCCAAGATGCAACTTTCGCTGATGCCGAGTTTTATCTAAACGCGATGGTTGCCGTCTATAAGAGTCAGTGCGACAAAGAGAATAACCCATTATTGAGTGATGAGAACGCTCGTAAGTACCATGGCACTATAAGGCAATACGCCAACCTATTCCGTAATGAGGTTACATAATTAATTTTCCGGATGCCGCAGTCAGCCTAAATACCACCTGCCTAATTGCGTGTTCAGGATATACCTAGTAGGTTCATGGTATATATCTATAATATAGTGACAGATATCCGTAGTGAAAGAACATCGACCCGAATATATTTCTGAACTCTTCATATCTTGCTTGTTTCTTTACAGTGGCGAAGCTCAACGTCTGTGCAGAAAAGATAGTAGCGAGTGGAATAGATCCAGGACTCTATATTACAGAACTGTACTCTATAGATTTCACTACCGGTGGAAAACCACTCAGTGACGAAGACTGTAGGTGAGTGTAAATTAACATATCACGTTTTCATGAGAAGTATATTTCTAAAAAGGGTTCTTAATTTTTGCATAAAACGTATGGACCTCGTAATGTTTTGACAGCGGGCGCAGATCATTGTCACACACGCGTAAGTCAAGGATATAGCGAAACATGAATAGCGCGCAGCATAATATCGAAACATGATACCCATGCAGTTTAACACACAATGGGATTGTAGTTCACAATGGCAGCGGCTGACATCACCGCAACAGCAGCCCAGTACGATGAAGCTCGATTCGCGCCATTCTCTCTTCCGCAAACGTAGTCGGTAAGCGTCGAAGTGCTTTCCTTGACGAAAGGGTAGAAGTCTTCACATTCCTTTGGTTCTCCATATAGATTTGTCACGCGTAACCATGAGACTATCAAATTTTCTAAAAAATAGTAAGGTTAGCAATCAATAATTGGTCGCAATGTTTATCACTTTACTAATTACGGAAACTTTTAAAATAGACTATGCGCCATCTCATTTTCTGTATGCACCCGCAGGACCCTTTAGCGTACTAATGTACTAGTGTAATACTCGTTTAGTACTAATGTAGTACTAATTTATAGTACATCACTGTCTTCAACGTTAGACAATCAATTTATTTCACAAATGATAAATTACGACACTACAGTTGTGTGATTTTGCTCACCGTTTATGGTTAAATACCTGCGTTACACCAATATTTTGTTGTTCTGTTCAGTGCATGTAAACGCTCAGACTCGATACATTTTCCATAGTGGAATAGTGCAATTCGTTTCAATGTATCAAATTTTTGTAACTCTTTCGAACATTATTTTATCCAGTAGCAGGTTATACTTAGTGCTGTTAGTATATATGTTTTATGCAAAAACTAAGAACCCTTTTTAGAAATATACTTCTCATGAAAACGTGATATGTTAATTTACACTCACCTACAGTCTTCGTCACTGAGTGGTTT